TTTTTTTCTTAATGTAAGCAAAGTTATTGATGTAATATAAAAATATTTGGCTATCTCATAGATCCTGAGAACAGTACCGTGGTAGAATTCATGAATAACTTAATTTCATAATTTAAATTGTATTAGTAGCCTCTCTGCTTGCTTCCTGCTTCTCTATGATTACCTTTATTCTTCCCTCTTTTTGTAAACTGCTTTCCCCCTTTGGAAAAGAATGTTAAGACAAATCATTTACATATTACAGTTTGGGTCACCCAAGACAGATTCATTTTCTTAAGGCTTAAGTCTAAGTTTATCTAGATTTGCACATAGTCAAGCCTTGAAACTTCTGATTTAAAGGGTATTTTTTCATATTTTTTACAAATATTTTTCCAATTAATGGAAATATGCATATAGAAGGGGGATGCTGAAATTTGCTAAGTTAGCAATTTGATTTAGGGGTTCAATTAAAGAGGAAATCTAATATGGAGAGTGAAGGTATAGGGATGGTAGATCAATGTGAAGTGTGCAGATAAAACTTAGAAGAAACCATCAAAGTAACTAGGGAATTGGTTTTAAGACTCAGAAGCTAAACTAAATCAAACTATGAGTTCATGTAGTTATGAACAAAATGAGACAAGAAACAGCAGTCAGGCTGAGCCATGGGAAGATCTGAAATTACCCACTGGTGAGAAGAGCACACTTCTGGGCTGTACTTGGAATTCTGCTGCACTCTGTGTTATCACCACTTGATCTTTATTCTCTGTGGATATGTGGCATTGACTGCCTAGATTCTAGGAAGTTTCTTTATAAATGGCCTGGGAAGGTCTGTGAGGGTCCTGGAGTAGAGCAATGGGGGATCTTCAGAGAGCCTGGTTTAGCTGCACAGTGGGATAGTGTGTTATTCATAATAGCCCACCATGGCATCTCCTTGCCACTCACACCAGAGAGCTGCCAATGTCACATGTCAGTGATGTATGTTTGTGTTCACACAATTCACACATGAAAGTGTATGTTCATGCACTTTTAGTGACTTTCATAGATGTAGTCTTAATTATGGCTTCTGGAATTTGTTATCACTGAGAAGCAAAGAACTTTCTACATAACATGGATTGTGCTTCAAGTTTCACAGTGTCCATATCCTGAGTTATGCAATAATTATTATTTTAGGAAAGCTGAATATATAGTGACTGGTTAATGAAGTAAGATAGTCAATATCAGAAAAGTAGTCATAGTCATATTGATGGTAACTAGAGATTTTTGGGTTTTCTTAGAAATGTTCTCCAAAACTTACAAAGTGGTATTGTATTCATTTATACCCTCATCTAAACTTTATAGATACATTTAGTCAATAATTCCTAAGTATTTACTGAGTTCCTTCTGTGTACCCAGGTACTGTGAAGATTTATAGGGAAATATACTGTCTTTGTTATTTTCTAAATATAGAGTCTGATTGGAAATACCAAATTTACACAGGAAGTGGAAAATAGAAGCATAGACATACAAAAGTGATGAATGGCACTGTATGGGAAATGGGCTTGTGTATAAATGTATTCCCAGACCATATTAATACAATATATAAGAAGAAAAACAAAAATAAGATGGGTTGAAACCCCAAATCAAGTCAGTATGTACATATTTACTGATCATACTATTGCTGGTGGATATGGGGTTCTTGCGGTGTCACGAGGAAAAGCATTCCTAGGAACCCACAAAAGGGGATAAGATCTGGTAGCAAGGTTTATTCAGGAAGCAAAATTATGGAGGTTCTCCAGTGTCCCATTGCTGTCCAATTCACCATGGAAAATTAGGGCCAGATATATAGTCAATGTCCAGAGATCCTGTGCCATATTAAAGCTTACTCCAGTCTAGCATTTGACGAGCTTAGCTTGTGTTCCCAGCTGTAGTCTGTTGCTTTGCTGCTGTACCCATGCTGGAGCTTGCCTGTTGGGACCCACTGGCCAGTGGCCACTTGACTAAGGCCACATGACTAAAGAGAATGCATAGAATGCATGAATGCACAGCATGAGTGCAGGTGAGAGAGAGAGGGGGAGAGAGGGATAGAGAGGCGGGAGAGAAGAGGGGGGGGGAGAGAGAGAGAGATTGATTCTTTGTTCACCTGAAATTATGTTTTCTCAGGCCTGGCAAGAACCAGAAGCTTTTTCAAAATAATCAATCAGCTTCCTAAATTTTCCCGGGTTTGCATTAGGGTCTACCCACTAGTCAATTACCTTTTTCTCAGGTTAGACTGACAGGTCTCTATGGCAGGTACCACCCCCTGCCCCATTTTGACTTTATTGTACATGTCCTTATCTCCCCCTCTTCCCTGTACCCCACATACACAATCTGGTACCTGAAGGGGGGAGAAGAGGTTTAATCCCCCAGGAGGGACAATGCTGTGATTCCTTGGGGTATGAAGCTGTATCTTCCTGGTGAAGCAAACAGGTTCCTTTCTTTCATTAATATCTCACTAACTTCAGTAACAATACTATACTAGATAATAAGGTAAAATACAATATTAGGTGTGATACTCGGAAAGTTTTCAGGAAAGTAAAGGAGACAAGGCATCATCACTTTCCGGAGTCCAGGGAACCAATTAGAAACCATAAGAGAGATGTCCTCAAAAGTAAAAACAAACAATAGTAACAACAGTAAAAGCCATTAAGGCATCACCAGATTGCTTTCAACATCCAATATGTAAGACCCTGAGGCATCACTTGCCTTCATGGTGGCCTTTGCTTTGCCTCGATCTTGTGTGGTGCTGGAGATCTCCAATCAATGCAAGATTAGATGCTAGGATCAAGGAGCAGCTTAGTAAGAAAAGAATGGATTTGAAGTTACAAAGTCAGTGTTAAATATCAGCTTTCATTTTCCCTGAGCCTCATTTTTTTCATCTATAGCATAGACATAGTGATAATAATGCCTCATCAATATGTTTTTGTGGAAATTAAATAATAATATATATGTATATCCTTATATGCATAGTGGTAAGTAATAGCCTATATAATAAAAGCATAATATGCTAAGTGTCTGACTGAACAGTCTACCATTTGGTCAACTGCTTGACCAGTTGCTATGATGCGCACTGACCATCAGGGGGCAGTAGGTTAGCTTGCCGCTGGGGTCCGGCCAATTGGGACTGGGCAAGAGGGCTGGACACGCCCTGGAGCCCTCCCATCGGCCGGCCAACCTCCCACGGTCCCTCCCCAGCCAGCCGGCCCCCATCAGCCCTGATTAGTACTGGGCGAGATGGCCCCGATTGGCCCTGATCACCGGCCAGACCGAGGGACCCCGCCCGTGCACAAATTTGTGCACCAGGCCTCTAGTGTATTTAATAAATGGTAGTTCACATGATCTAATCCATTCTCTTCAGTGTAGTTATAGCCACTAACACAGCATTGAGATTTCTCTCTGGTGTATAAACAGTTCACAAACTACATAGTGATATATCCTCACAGTAGTCCATCTTTAGGGACACTTTTAATAATAATATTTAACATTGATTCTGACATTTAAGTTTACAAACACATTCAAATATATCACCTCATTTAGTCCTCAAACAACCTTTTCAGAAAGTGATTATTTCTATTTCCATTCCACAGAGAAGAAAAATGAGGCAAAAGGGGTTAAGGGACTTGCCCCCAGTTCACACTACAAGGAAGTGGCAGAGTCCTCAAGTATTGGGAAGTTGATAAAACAAATTTGAACCCAGGTCTTCTAATTCTAAACCTCTCATTCTTCTCTCACACCACATGCCTCTTCACAAGCACTGTTTTTATGTGGAGTCCCCTGGAAACTATCTTTCTCCAAAGCCCCTATTTACCCACAGGTACTTGCTAGTAGGAGTTTTACAAACCAGGAACGTCTAGTTGACCCACTATGTAGATATGTAGACCAGGGGCATGTTCTCAATGTCCAGTGTTTTTAGTTAAAACACGGTATTTTATTTTGTAAAATCTGCTGGATTGCTACTTGTCTTATCATTCGGTTAGGATCCCATAGGCACAAATTGACATTAAAAACCTGTTAACTCTGTTAACTCCAGAGGGCACATCTAATGAAATGCCCTAAAAGTTGAATACTTGCCAAAACCACTGTGTCGTAAAGAACAGCTCTCGATTAATCATGATGAGAGTATTTCCTCTATCTAAATGAAATCTGCAGTTTGGTAAGAAGATTAAAGTTCCTTCAGGGATGAAGGGAAAGTTGCTGTGGAAATTCTAAAAACTAGAAAATAAAGATAGGTCTACTCAATATTCATGAAGTCAGATTGGTTGATGCAAATACAGATTGCACTCTCTTATTTTTTAATGACTTGGCTTATAGCTCTCCTATATCATATTTTACACAGATTCCTACTCAACTTTACGGCAAATGACTGTAGTTTGTACAATTTAAAAAATAGTTCAGCATATTCAATATGATTTTCTGCCACTTTGACTAAGTGTTCATTTTCTATCCAAAGATTTTTAAGATATATGATCAGAAATGTATAAATAACAAAAAATAAATAAATGATGACAGCATGCATAATAGGTAAACATATATATCACTAAGTGAACCCTTCTATTTTGCATTGAATACAACATACTCTCAAAAGGCAGTTTAAGGGGAAGAGTTGTAAATATTGGTTTAAGTTTAATTTTGCTTCTTAGAGTGGAAAATTAAATTTACTTAGCACAGCCACTTTAAAAAGAAATGTTACCAACTTTAGCTCTCACCCAATGTTTTAGAAATCTTTGCCTCTTAAGCATCACCAATCCTCATCTTCTAAACTGCTGGATAAAATTTAAGAGTAAATGAGTACAAGTTCTATGAATGCTTACTTCATTTCATTATGTTGTAAGTGTGGCAAACAAATATTTAGAGGTTGTTGGGAACTTTGAGCCATTTCATTTTTTTCTCCTAACACTTGACACAGTGCCTATAAGGGTCCTCAAGAAATACTGTTAAGCTATTTGTTTAAAAAGTTAACAGATTCTTTGAATAGACTACTTACAATATTTTCTACTTCTGTTTTTCAGGCCAGCCCTGCTCCTATAATTGTCAACACTGATACGTTGGACACGATTCCCTATGTAAGTAACATTTTTATTAAGGGTTTCTTTAAAAACTATTGTAGAACTTAATCAGCTATGTTTCAATTTTAATACATATTCAGTTTTACTCAGTCCAGATAATTTTATGGAATGGTGTGTGGAATGAGTTTTGTGAGTTTTCTTTGTCATTTGCTAAATCTCGGTTTAGTCATGCAAATTTTTTTCTATTTTATCCATTGTTTTCTAAAGCACAGGGCCTGTCATGAGAAAAATTATTGCCCATTGTGTTCAAATAATGTTAGTTTCCTAGGTGGTTCACTGAAAAGAGATTGAATTGTTTGTGCTAGTAGAAGAGATGAGCAAACTTCTTTGGATCTCTTAGTAAATATTCAAATCAGTTTCTGTTACAGAGCCTAGAACATAAGTAAGTGTCAATAAATATTTGGTGGGTTTTTGCTGGGCTTCTAACAAGAACTGGAACAAAAGTCTTGTGAGAGTGAAGACTGTCTATATATAATAAATTGTATGGTTTTATAAAAGCCTGGCATGAGATAATAGGATCACTCATATCAATAAAGCTTGAGATTTTGTAACTGCAATATAACCACTCTGATGACCAAAGTTCTTGACGATGGGGTCCAGTTGGGCAGGGGAGATTGGAGAGGCAACAGGCCACATTATGTGTGAGTGGTTGACATCACGGAGGCTCAACAAAGCTTTGCAAGTGGCCCTTACCTGGTGGGTAGAGAATGGTGATTTGGAATGATAGAACAGATACAGATCCATGCAGACAGAGGGTTGGCTGCAAGGATAGTGGGTAGAAGGACAAACAGGTTTATGAACTTTGGTTAAATGAGAACAGCATGTGAAACACTTAGAAGAATACTTGGCACAAAGTACGTGCTTGGTAAGCACCAGCTACTCTCAGTCTTAGACCTCAACCTCAAATGCTTGCAAGGGCCAAACAAACAGATCTAGATCCACATCCAAACTAATGGTACAATGGGAATAAGAGGGCACATGGCCTTCCAAAGGGAGCAGCTACCACTCAGCTCCAGTGGGTTGGTACCAAGGGGGCCAAGTGTTGCCAGACCACCCAATGTTTCAATAGAAGTCAGAACTTTAAACTTTGTGTAAAAGTCTGCAATTTTAAGTACAGGTAACTGATTTTCAAAGGTTCAAACAACCGTGTGTGCCACAGTGTGGTGTCTAGTGCAGAGGCTGCCCTTTGAGAGATGTCTGCCGGGAAGGAACGGGAGGACCTGGGCCGGTCCTGCTAGCCGGGACTCGGCCACAGGGGAGAAGCATGCTAGAACTGGAGTACAAGGCGGGGACTTGATTACAGGAACAAGGGACTAAAACTGGGACACAGGGTCAGGACAAGAATAACAGCAAACTTGGTTTAATGCTGAGTCACCTGAACTACTGAGTTAGAGCTTCTTAAATCTCTCTGAATGAGAGTTGTTTGGGGTCAGACCGGAAATGGGGTTAAGTTTACTGGTAAAAATCAAGTGGCCCTAGAGGTGAAAAGTAAAGGACTCCATTGGAAGGAAGCAAAGCAATGTATTAAGGACACAGAGTGTCCAGTAGTCTCTCTCTCACTCTTTCTACCTTCTTGTACTTATTAAACATTTATATTGGGATTACTGTATACCCGACACTGTTTTAAGGATGAACAAATATTAACTCACTTAATCCTCGTAATAACCCTACGCAATAGGTAATCCTCGTAATAACCCTACGCAATAGGTACTACTAATTTCTCCATTTTGTAGATGAGGAAACTGAGTCCTAAAGAAGCTAAGTCACCCTCTCAAGGTTGCACAGTAAGAGGAAGGGCCAAGAATGAACCTAGAGAGCCTAGTTGTAGAGTCTGAGATCTTACCTGATGCTGGTAATGCTCCTTTCCTCCTTCCCTCCCTTGTTTTCTGTTTCTCAACTTGGGAACACATGTTGCTTTCTTACGCCTTTGCTACATGTGACTTTGGGTGGAAGACCACTTGTCACAGAGGCAGCAGTACCCTTGCGGCAGAGACCCATGTTTATATTAAGAAATCCAATGTCTTTATTACAGTAAATCTCTTTACTGTATCCATTGGCAAAGCAAATGAGCAGTGCTTTGAAGAAGTAGACACGGAGCACAGAAACTTAATTTTCTAAGTAAGACTGCTTTCTTGTGGTAGATCTATATGATGTCAAAGCCTTCTATTAAAGTTTTTGTGGCTTAACTGTCAGATGCCCTCATGCACAAATAATTTATCAATAGAAACTAAGGATTTTGTACAGACATGCCCAATTTATGTCCCGACTAATTAGCTAGTAAGATGGTCCACATAAAATAAAATAATCAGCCCTAACCGGTTTGGCTCAATGGATAGAGTGTTGGCCTGCAGACTGAAAGGTCCCAGGTTCGATTCCGGTCAAGGGCATGTACCTTGGTTGCGGGCACATCCCCAGTAGGAGGTGTGCAGGAGGCAGCTGATCGATGTTTCTCTCTCATCGATGTTTCTAACTCTCTATCTCTCTCCCTTCCTCTCTGTAAAAAATCAATAAAATATATTTAAAAAAATAAATAAAATAATCAAACTGCTCCCATTCTCCTAAATATCAACTTTGTATCTGACTTTGAGTTCTTCAAAGGGCTTTTTTGTTCTATCTTCACCTGTTTTGTATTTATATTTAATAGCGCCCTCTGTGAGCCTTCTTAAGAGTTAGACTCTTTACAAAGTTTTGCTAAGCAGCTTCATATGGTGAAAACATCACCTAAATTAATCTATTAACCAGGAGTTATATAATACCTATTTAAGAGGTGATTGGTTGTGAGAATAATGAGATTAGATATGTAAAATGATGCTTTAACTTTGGCTTACTAGGGATTTATTTATTTATCATTTTACTTGATAAACACTTGCGAAGTAACATATGCTAGACCCTAAGAGAATGGTAAATATGTATATCTTCCCCCATATAAGAGAATGAACACATTATCTACTAAAAAAAGGCAGATTTAATACAAGGACATTAATGCGAATATGCTTTGGATCTTAGCATCAGCCCAACCCTCCCCCTTTTTCCTGACTCACTGGGTAACCTTGAACACTGTGCCTTTTACAGTCCATTTTCTCATTCCCCAGTGTTCTATACTTTGTTTTCCTCTTTTATTTCTCATGTTCTAGTTGTGCACATAATTTCAGCTCTATTTAATGAAAAAATGATTTTAGAGCTCCCCAGAGCATTTCAGTCATGTTGCATAAGAACGCTTCCTTCTTTAAAAATATTACCTAAATGACAAAATTTTAATTCTATATTAGTGTCCTCTTCAAAAGTAATTTTATTACAAGTAAATGTATTAATTTTGCCAGTCAGCAAATTTGATTTTAGAAATATATCATCCTTATGGAAATGATTCCTTGGCATACATGCAAGCAGCAACTGAATAACTAGAGGAAATCTGTGGTCAAAGGCAATTTCTAAATGTGTAAAAAGGGTACAATAGATACTTAAAGAGATTTCTGCTTTTTTTAGGGGGGAGTTAAGTTAAGGGACATTAGAGCTTTTAAAGTATCTGCCATGAACAAAGGTTACTTGGGTTCTTACACGTGACTGCTTCAAATAAACTCATTCTTGTATGATGTCCTGATATTTTAGGGTTGGGTAGGTCCTTAGATGTGCCACAGTCAGCCTCTCATGCAAAGCAGGAATCCCCTTTATGCAGATGTTTTCATTATGGGCCTTTATGGGTGGGACAGTGCTACCAGAGTATGTCATTTTCATTTTGATGCTGAAGCCCAGGACACAAATGCTCAAGAGAAAACAAGGCGAAACAAGAACATTTCCATTTCAACACTCTAGTTGCCATTTTTTACTCCATCTTTTTATTCTTCTCCATGATGCATTGAATATTGTCTTATGCAAGGTAGTAAACATGCTCTGTTCTTAGAGAGGGCGAGTAAAGCCTGCGTCTGATCTTTACATCTGGATCCCTGAAGGCTGACTTAGTGGGAAGTAGCATGTTACCGTCTGGTATTTTGCAACCAACTGGCACGGAAGCCTCTCGGGCACACCTCTTCCCTTCAGCAGACCCTTCAGAGTTCTATATTGAACACAAGCAAATCCCATTCTTTCTGCTTTCATTTCATAATGGTTCTATTTTGATCTGTGTTCTGGGAAATATGCTGTGGAAAGTGTGGAAAACTCACGGATCATGAGGTTTAAATCTTGTTAAATAACTTGGGGGTTCAAGGAATGCAAACCTTTCATTTTCAAATACAGATATCTGAGCTCTACTAGTAAGTGGTAGAACTTGGTCTACCATTTACTGTTATTCCATGTAACAGTCTATTTTTGGTGTGCAACCAACAACCACAAAATCACTGATATATAACAATAAGCATGTATTTCTCCCATAAGTGCTTGCTGGTTGGCCTGGTCAGCTGTTTGAGGCTGTAGATTACCAGGTTGGCTGGGGCGTCCCTGCTTCACATATTCCAGTACGGGCCTAGAAGGTGGGACAGCACTTCTCACAGTGTGTTCTTTTCATTATCATGGCTGAAGCACAAGAGGGCAAGCCCAGGACATACTAATAAACATAGTTAGAGCCTCTGCTCATATCACATCCACTAACACCCCACTGGCCAAAGCCAGTCATATCGCCAAGCTCAAAGTGAAGGAAGGAATTTTGCTAAACAAGAAACTGGTTTGCCATACCAAATCCTCAAATAAAAGGGTCACGGATCTATACATGTTCCTTTTTTAGAAAAAAAAATCAGGTACAATAGAAGGAATCTTACACTTCAAAAATATTAGTAGGTCAATTATAATAAACAATGAAAGTTTCAAAGTCCTGGATCAACTAATATGGGGAAAGGGTGTCTAATTTATTAAGGATGTCTAAAAGAAATGAGAAATAAAAGAAACATCTAGCAAGTACTGGCAGTACAATGACTTTCCTTTCCTGTGAGACACTGTTGTCTGAAACATTATTTCCAGAAGTAGAAATAATAATGGAGACAAGAGTATTTGGTTGAGAAATTCCAGGA